ATAGAATTAGAATAGAATTAAAATAGGAATAAGAATAGGAATAAGAATAGGAATAAGAATAGGAATAAGAATAGGAATAAGAATAGGAATAAGAATAAAAATAGAATTAGAATAGAATAGGAATAAGAATAGGAATTGGAATAGGAATAAGAATTAGAATTAGAATAGAATAACAGTGTTGGAAGGGACCTTGGAGGTCTTCTAGTCCAACCCCCTGCTTAGGCAGGAAATCCTACACCACTTCAGACAAATGGCCTGACATCTTCTTAAAAACGTCAAGTGTTGGAGCATTCACAATGTCTAGAGGCAAGTTGTTCCACTGATTAATTGTTCTGTCAGGAAATGTCTCCTTATTTCTAAGTTGCTTCTCTCCTTGATGAGTTTCCACCCATTGTTCTACCCTCAGGTGCTTTGGAGAATAGTTTGACTCCCTCTTCTTTGTGGCAACCCCTGAGATGTTAGAACACTGCTATCATGTCTCTCCTAGTCCTCCTTTTCATTAAACTAGACATACCCAGTTCCTGCAACCGTTCTTCATATGTTTTAGCCTCCAGTCCCCTCATCTTTGTTGCTCTTCCCCGCACTCTTTCTGGAATCTCCAAATCTTTTTTACAAAGTTCAGATATTTGGCAGCTTACTCATATTTATGACATTTACTATTTCCTGGGGTCACGCAAGCCTTTTGCAACCTTCTGACCAGCAAAGTCAATGGGAAAGCCAGATCCACTTAACAGCCAGGTTACTCACTTACCAACTGCAATGATTCACTTAACAAATGTGTTCAAGACAAGTCATAAAGTGGGGCAAAACTGTCTTGCTTAGAAACAGAAATTTTGGGTTCAATGATAGTCACAAGTTGAAGATTACTGAAGAAAGAACCAAATGAACTATTATTGTACTGTTGTGACTATGGGTATCTGTCAGGTTTCTGAAAGAAGGCCTATTTGATTCATGAGCCTCGACCCAAGTTTCAAAAGATAATCAGTCTTTTATTAGGAGCACCATTTTGGCAATACCGTATTGCAGTCCGATCTAAGCCTCATTTGAATTTTAGCTGAACTTTACTACTGTTCCTTCCCTCCCCTCATTCTGTGTCATAAATCACATTCCCCAATGAGGTGCACCCCTCCCAAGCCTGCTGTGGTAATCTGACTCTAGCCGAAGGTATGCGTGGAATGTGCTGCCCCCCCTCACCTTTCCGCACCATGGCAACTTTATGAATTGACAATGGGTCTATGTGTGTATCTTTATTTGTTTTATAAATAACAGGGATTGTCCATAAAGGCAATGGAGAGAACATATTCATCGCACAGCAGCCAGCAGTGGTCTCCACCGTCATGGGCAACGGGCACCAGAGGAGTGTCTCCTGCACCAATTGTAACGGTCCTTCTCACAGCAGCAAACTCTTTGCACCTGTGGCCCTTGCGTCCGGCACCGATGGGAGCATCTACATTGGTGATTTCAATTTTGTCCGAAGGCTTCTTCCTTCAGGAAACTCTATTAGCATCCTGGAACTAAGGTAAAAATATCACAGGAGTGATGTATTAAAATCTGCAGCAAGGGTATACAAGGGATATCTGTTGGGTCATCTTTCCTCTTTTCCAAAGCAAACAAAAAACACTTTACATTAAGAAAATAACATATCAAAGCATCTTTTGCAACTTACAGTATATATTTAGCTGACTCCAGTTATTCACAGAATATAACAGAGTTGGAAGGAACTCTATATCCTTTGAGACAAATGGCTGTCCAATCTCTTAAGAGTCTTCAGTGATGGAGCATCCACAACTTCTGGTTAATTGTTCCACTGATTGATTATTAATAATATAATAATTACTCATTATTGTCACTTTCTTGAACATATATTTAGCAAGATAAATGTGAATCGCAACACAGAGAAATAAACTAGCTCTTGTATTTAAAGGCTCACCCTACTGTTTCGGTAGGAACTTTTTAAAAAATTTATCACAAAGTTATGGTTTTTATGCAGATTCAATAGGCTGCAGGATGGCTAATATGTTAATTGACTAAAAATATTTATGATCGTTTCTGTTAATATATTTATGTTATTGCATTTTCTTTTGCTTTCTTTTTTTTTTTTTTTACTTTTGCCTCTGCGTGAATCTCCATTCAAGAAACAGGGACACCAGACACAGGTATGAAAATTATGATCTAATGAACAATTACTTCTTCCTCCTTTTTCTCTTCCTCCTCCTGTTCCTCCTCCTCCTGTTCCTCTTCTTCTTCTTCTTCCTCTTCCTCCTCCTCTTCTTCTTTTTCTTCCTCCTTCTCCTCCTTCCTCCTCCTCCTCCACCTCCTTTTCCTCCTCCTCTTCTTCTTCCTCTTCCTCTTCTTCTTCCTTTTTCTACTCCTCCTCCTCCTCCTCCTCCTCCTAGCATATTCCCACAGGTGCAGGGTCTGCTTGGATAACTGTCCAAATGTTGTTCTATAATTAATATTGAGGAAAAGCAATCAAAATTATAACTATCTCTATTGAAAAACCACATAGCAATTTGCCTTGGCCCTTATAAAAATTACCAAGGTGGCTTTCCACCTGGCTAATCTGTAAAACTAATGATAATTTGGAATTATTTATAATTAGAATTTTCCAAAATGTACAAAAACAAGATAGAAAGCAACTGAAAACCTCAGCATTTAAATTTGGAGGAAAGGATAAATTCATACATTGAGGGAAAGAGTTAATTGCTTTACTCTTTTAAAAAAAATGCATACAACTCTGGTTTGTTTGGCATGTTAATGATATGAAAGCTTGGTCCCCACCTTCCCAAGTCTAAAAAATATAGAACATGGTCCTTTCCATGTTAGAGAACATCTCTACCCAGTGGTGGGATTCAGCCAGTTCGCAGATATTCAGGAGAACCGGTTGTGAACTTTCTAAGCAGATTGGAGAACCGGTTGTTGGAAGAAATCTCCTTTTGTTTTTTTCCACTTTACAGGGCTAATNGCGGGGAGTTCGTTCCAAAGGGCCGGAGCTGCCACAGAGAAGGCCCTCCTCCGGGTAGTAGCCAGATGGTATTGGGTGGTAGATGGAACCTGGAGGAGGCCAGCCCTGTGTGATCTAATGGGTCTTTGGGAGGTAATTGGCAGCAGGCGGTCTCTCAAGTACCCAGGTCCAATACCATGAGTCCCTCAGGAATAGGGTGGCATACAAGTCGAATAAAACCTTCAAACCTTCAAACCTTAATAGTAAGAATGGTCCATCAGAGGAACTGATAACATAGAACAGGGGTGTCAAACTCAATTTCATTGAAGGCCACATCAAGGTTGCGTTTGACCTCGGGGGGCTGGGGTCGACATGGCCATGGCCATGGTTGGCATGGCCAGCTCAATGTCACTCGTGTTGGGGAGCGCTCTGCCAGTGAAAACAGGCTCTCAATCTCCCTTTTTGGCTGCGATGGCCTCCTGCAACCTTCTGCCAGCGAAAACATAGCTCGGGAGGGTGCGGCCACATGCAGCCCTCCACAGCTTCATCCTCCTAAGTTGGTGGAGACAGCGGTCATACATGGGTTAACTCAGTCAGTAACCAATAGAACTGAGTCTACCAAAGTGATGTCATCGCCTGAGGAGCTCCCCGCTTTTCTAGACAGTTCTTGGCTGTTTCCAGGGCAGCCCAGTGGGCCAGATCTAAGCACCCTGCAGGCCGGATCCGGCCCCAGGCCTTCGGTTTGACACTCCTGACATAGAATGATGTTTCTTAAAGTATGGTCCAAGGAGGGTTCCCCCAAGGCCCTCTCAGAGATCTGTGAAGTGAAAAGTATTTACCCGCTATTGAAAATACTTGCAAAAATTTAAAAACAATGTCACTGCTCCCATTTTTTGGGTTCACCCACAAATGCGCGAACGACAAAAGCGCGCCTGACTAAACCGCGGTGACAAAAGCGCGAGTTCTAAAGCGCACCGACGAATGAGCGCTAAAACGCGCCGACAACAGCACGCCGACAGAAGCGCGCTGTAACCCTAAACCTAAACCTTACCTTAACTTAAATCGCGCTTCTGTCAGCGCGCTGTTGTCGGCGCATTGATGACATCGCGGTTTTAGCGCCGCGGTTTTGTCGGCGCGCTTTTGTTGTTCGCGCATTTGTTGGGTCACACATTTTTTGTCATTGAAAACAGAGATTTTTGTGAAAGATATTTTATGTTAATATATATATAATAGGTTCAATATTGTTATAGTTATATGATTCAGTAAATGTTCTACAAAATGCCTCAGTTTTAATATTTAATATTGATAAATATAACCCATATAACACAAAAGCTCTTTTGAGGTCGTCCATAATTTTTAAAAAATGAGAAGGGATTTCAAAAGTTTAAGAAATGCTGAGCGAAAAGATTGTTCAAATCTTGATACGTTCATTCAAAGAGTAGATAGCCACCTTTTCCAGATCTTCTAATTTCGGCCTTCCAAGATCAAGCAGAGGAGTAGACTAGAAAGCCTGCAAAATTCTCTTTAATTCTGTGCTTCTAGAAGTTATCTGTTCCTAAAACTTTGCAATTCTAAGGTTTAGCATTATTTCTTTTCCTTAGAATTTCCTACGAGTCGCCTGGAAATGAGCGCGGTAGCAGATATTTTTGACAGAGATGGCGATGGCTACATTGACTATTATGAATTTGTAGCAGCACTTCATCCAAACAAAGATGCATACAAACCTCTGACAGATGCAGACAAAATTGAAGATGAGGTAATCCTCTTCTATTCACCTCTTATTATTGAGTATTTTCCATTAGAATTGCATAACAATCATCATACTCATACAGTTTACCAAGGATACAGAATGGCTGAAAATCTAATACAGTGGTTCTGATTATCATATTGACAGGTGACACGGCAAGTGGCAAAATGTAAATGTGCAAAGCGGTTCCAGGTGGAGCAGATTGGCGAAAACAAGTACAGAGTAAGTCTAACAAATACATTCACGTCATCCGTTGATTTATACCTAGCTAAAAGAACCAGAAGATCTGGGCTATGAAACTAGATTTAGACTATGTGGGTCCTGTGAATGTTCTCAAAGTATTAAAACCTATTTTAAACCTTACTAACAGCCAATGATAATAATAATCACAACATAGAAAAAGTAATAGAAAATGAAGAAGCTAAATGCTCTGGGACTTTAGAATTGAAGCAGGCAAATATTTTCCATGCAACACTTAACAATGGTAATAAGAAAGACAAAGAGGTGTGGATGTTGCAGGACGTGGAGACAGCAGGATAGAAGAGAAAGAACTGGAGAAAGTCACAAAATACGAAGACCTGCTATAGAAGTGTAGAACAACTGTGGCGAGAGGAAGCCAAGGTAGTACCAATAGTAATAGGCACTTCGGATGTAATTCCAAAACATCTGGAGCTTCAGCAGCATTGACAAAATCACCACAGTCAGTTGCAAAAGGCAGCTTTTACCTTTCATATTATTAGTAAACGACATCTGCCTATTTCAGACCCTTGACTCATTAAGTGGATAAAAATGTCAAATCCAGTCTAAACATTGATTAACTGTGTGACCAGCCCTAATTCCCATTGTTACTCAGTTGAAATTACATATTGCGATAATCTCACGTTTTTCAAATCGATGCATTAACATTAGTCAATGTTTATGAGAAATTAAAGAGGGGTGAGTTCATTCAAATGCAGCCTCAGGATTGAAAGTGATTTTTCCAACACACAGTAGAAAGGGCAGCGGTTGTTTTCCTCAAGGAAAAAATATACCATGGCTGCCATTTTGCCTTTCCGGAACTCCAATTTTTTTTAAAAAATTGAAAATGTTTTCCCCTTGAAAAAGTTTAAAGGCCCTGTTGGTTTGTTTTTCTTTGTGGAAGACTGTTCAGAATAAGTGAGATTGTAGAGATTGGGTTTATACAGTAGGTCTGTTACATTAGGGTTCATCACCCCCCTTCCCCCCCCAAAAATACCGGGCCACCAAAGCAGTGGGCAAGCGTGCAAAGCTTCATTTAGACCGCCTACTGCCATACACCTCCCAACGGCCGATAAGATCCCACAGAGTGGGCCTCCTTCGGATACCATCAGCCGGTCAGTGTTGGTTGGCGGGCCCCCAGAGGAGAGCCTTCTCTGTGGCTGCTCCGACCCTGTGGAACCAGCTACCCCCAGAGATCCGGACCTTACCCACACTCATGGCCTTCAGGAAAGCCGTTAAAACCTGGCTGTTCTGGCAGGCCTGGGGCTGTTGACCTTAGTGTTAATGTCCAGCCCCCATTAGAACGTATGTGTGTTGTGAACTATTTTTTTTTACTTATTTTGCTTTTCTTTTTTTTTCTTCTTTCGTTGTAAGCCGCCCGGAGTCCTCCCGGATTGGGCGGCCTATAAATTTAATAAATAAAATGAATGTAAATGAAATGAGTTGGTGTCCCTAGCCCTGCCTAAAAGGAGCCCTCTCTTGGTTCCAGTTGAAACCAATTGACAAACCAACCTGAAATGGAAGGCATCTGGTGGGAGGAAAACCCCGTCTCCCAATCGGTACTGCACCCCGTTTTTGGTTGCCATGCTGTAGAA